GTCTCTCTCTCTCTCTCTCTCTCTCTCTCTCTCTCTCTCTCTGCCTCTACACTCTTAAGTGTAGCCATCATAGTCTCAAGTTGAGCTTGCACCACTACACACTGCCTCATAGCCGGGTCCCAAGAGCGCATCATCTCCTACAATCGACATCTATGGTGCACCACCTCACGGCTGGCCAGCTCGTCAGGGCTACCTATGCCCAACCTCTCCATGATCTCCCGAGCACGCGTAGACATGTACATGATCTCCCTCGCATAAGCCCAATATCTGTCTCCATACATTGCCCGAGACACCATTACATGCTCCTCACTCAGCTCATATATGAGAGCGTGCCTCGCCTCCCACTCTACCGACCAGAGAGCCATATTTAATGAATACTCTACCTCATAATCAACTCTAATCACGGGAGGCACCCATATGAGAGTGAACATGTACGGACCAGTAAGTGGTCCAAACTGTCATAATACATGATCAGGGTTGTCATCTTCTACCACATTCATACAAATTGAATGACCATGTGTAAGAAAAACAAGCACGGAGGCCTCACAAACATTGGTCATATCCTCTCTATGCACAATCTAAGTAATCTAAAAGAACATAAATATGTGATAAAGTGAACCAAGAGAATTTCTCACAAAAGAAAAGAAAAGGAAAATCAAAAGAAATTCAATTGTTCCCTTATTTTGTTTGTTGGAAATCCTCATTTCATGTTCCTAGGCCTGAACAAAGAGGGATATTCTTGTCATTTCTATTCATATATGAAGCTCAAGCCAAATGACTGTTTTACAATTCTTTGCTCAAGGTTAACAACATGTAGCTCACTTTTTTAATTGGAAACCCTTATTGTGAGTTCTTAAATCTGAACAAAGAGACATGTTAAGGTCATTTCCCTCGAACTAAGTGGCTTGATTTTACTCAGGACAAGAGAGGTTAATATGTAAATGTTGGATTTTGAAAGCCAGAACAGGTAAAGGTATTCACGTTACTCTGCTGGGGCTACTTAAGTGTGACCAAACAACAATGGCCCTACTTATTCAGGTTTCTGAAAACTATACAGGGACAATTAAAAAAAAATTAAATAAATTTGTTGGGGACGTACCTTAATGAAACAAAACTTAAAAAGAAACCATTCTAGTATTACATTTGAAAAATTGATAATATTAATAATTTGGTAAAGTGTTTTTGACAATTGAGTGATACTTTCCTAATAATATAAATTGAGGAAGTTTCAAAAGCATATTTTGAATTTAGCATATGGTCAAATAATGTAGTTCATTATTCCTTTTTGAAATTTGAAAAAATGTTTTTAACGTTGGACGGCCTTATAAAGAAGGATGGGCTAAAAGTATAGGGAGGTTCGACATTATGCTTATCGAATCATCCTACAAATGGGATGGTGCAATATTTTAGATTTCGGACTGTAACAATCCTAAAATTAAAAAAATAAAATAAAATAAAAAAAATAAAAAATAAAAATCCTTTTACCTTTGATGGACCATACAAATAATTTGGTCCTTAAGGTACC